GGGGACCCATTTTAGACCCCAAAATACTATAGTCCTTATTATAGGGACCCCAAAAAGTTGCCCATAATTTTGGGAAACCCCCAAGTAGTTTGAATCCCAAACTCCACAACCTAAGGGTCGAAGGACTCAAAATATCAGAGCTTTAGGCCTCAGACGCCTTAATCTGAATTGGGTTTAGGGTTTAGGGTTTAGGGGGTCTTTGAGACCTGGAACCTTGCTGTTTGACGCTTACGGACAGCGTTTTGAATTTTGATTGCCAAAGCTCGTACTCACTGCACTCCTGAATCTTAAGCTGCTAGAAGGAGTCCACGACTACTGTCTTCGAGGACTACCCGGGTTATGCCGGCGACTTGCCAGACACCTCTGGCGGTGTGAAGGATCGCTGAGTACCAAAAGGTTTTGGGTTTAGGGTTCAGGGTTTCAGGATTTTCAAGGTTTAGGGGGAGGAAATTTGGGTTTCAGGATTTTCGAGGTTTAGGGGGCAGAAGCGGCCAGTTCTGTACAGGCTTTAGGTGTGTTTATCGTCGATTTGGAACTTTACTGTGCTGTATGCCTCCCGCAGGTATCACGCGGGCTGCTGATACTCGTATGGATTGCACTTGGAGAGCCACTGCGGATTGCTTATGTAGAGACATCCTCACAAATCCTGCAAAAGCATCATGGGAATTCTGATTACCCACCTACGTTACGCGCAGCTTCTCAACTATCCCTTCAAGCTGTATAAGCCCTAAACTCCAATACCTAAACTCTAAACTCGAAACCGTAAAGCCCAAATTACTAGGAACCCAATGAGTGGTTCATTTTTTTAGTGGGGGGGATGGGGAACCCCGGCAAATATAATTACAAACGCTATCGCGCGCAAGAAGGGATGGTGGGGCTGGACTAGGCCGCCCCTCACGGAAGGGGGGGAGGGGGGGTCGGTGGGCCTGTAAAGGGGGAGAGGGTTCCAAACGCCCTGAGGCTGGATAGGCTCTACATTGGGACCCCAATTATGGAAGCTACCACATGCTCGTTCTTGAATATTTACGATTTGCGACAAGAATCCAATACATGGCTTGCAGTGATATAGTAATATGGAACCCGGATGCCGCAGCTCCAGTTATTGGATGCCCAGGTATGCTAGAGTTGTGACCATCCGCATGATATCAGAAAGGTAGAGTCTTTTTCCCTTTCCCATCCGGCACAGAGTGGAAAACGTAATCCAGCGCACAAATTTGCAGCAGGTCGAGTCGGACGACGAGACGCAGACGCTTAGTTGGCTCTTCACGCAGGGCCTGGACCCGCGGTGCAGCGATCCTTGCACGGCCAACAACTGCT